CTCCCTCACCTCATCCCCAAGCCTTGTTGATTCTGCTCTTCAACAGGCTCTCTTCTGGGCCCCTTTTTTTAGTTTCCATAACTACTGCCATCTGCATTTCCTTCCTGTGATTGCACTAGTATCCTAATTGGTTTCCCTGCCACCCACCCTTTATGGAATGCCAAAGTGATTTTTTTTTAAATGGAGTATCGCACTGTCACCCGGGCTAGAGTGCGGTAGCGCAATCTCAGCTCACTGCAACCTCCACCTCCTGGGTTCAAGCAATTCCCCTGCCTCAGCCTCCCAAGAAGCTGAGATTACAGATGTCTGTCACCATGCCCAGCTAATTTTTTGTATTTTTAGTAGAGACAGGGTTTCACTATGTTGGCCAGGCTGCTCTCAAACTCTTGACCTCGTGATCTGCCTGCCTCGGCCTCCTAAAAAGCTGGGATTACAGGTGTGAGCCACCACGCCCAGCCGAAGTGATCTTTCTCATACACACATCCAATCTTACCCTTCCCCCAGTTACTAGGACCTTAGTGCATCAAGTCCAGGCTCGCCAGAGTTTAGAGAAAAGCACTTAAAACCATCAGGACCGGGCTGTTTCTTTTCTGTCTGACATCCTCTACCCTTTTCACATCCTCACTTAACTGCCCAGCCATGCTGAGTCACTTAAGAGTTCTCTGCCACTCCCTTCATGTTGCTGTGTCTTTGCGTGTACCAGTCCTTTTGTCCCAAGAGTCCTTATTTCTTTTCTCTGTTGGTGAATTCCTACTATTCTTAGGGATTAGGTACACAGTCACCTTTCTTGTGAGATTCCCTGCTTTGCTTTAGGCAGAGGTCTTTTCCCCTACAGTTTCTGGAACATATTTCTATTGTAGTGCTTAGTAATATGCATTCTGATTATTTATTTACCAGTTTGTGTCTCTCAGATAATTATAAGCTTTTCTGAGGCAGGCAGGGCCTCTGTCTTTCTTTTTCATCTCTGTGTCTCCAGCACCTAGTACAAATAAACTTGGCATATCCAGGGTACTTGCTAAATTCTTGTTATGAAAGCTTGGCATGCAATTGTTATGTCATTAAAATAAGAAATAAATGAATGTCTGAAACTTATAGTGTTAAAAAAGTCACCATGACTTTCCTTCAACCAATCACTGTGGCAAGACAAATATAATACTCTGATTCATTTAAGCCAATTAGTGCCCACTCCACAAGTGTGGGAAAGGCTAACCCCACCAATCACATGACTAACAATATGAGGGTGAGTGCCAATGAACATGCAAGACATCCAGAGAGGCCAGCATGCCACCTGAAAGTGGATCAGCACAACTTGGGAAACATGGTTTAGAGCCACACTGAACAAATCACTTGCTGCTCATTTGCTTCACCTAGGCCATGATCTCAAAGGAGTTCTCAGAACAGGTAGCCTCCTCTCACTATCCTTCCCTAGGCCATGACAGAAGAAAGCTCTGGATTAAGAATCTAAAGCTCCTGACTTCTGCTTTGGGCTCTGTCAAGACATTAAATCTTTCTGATCTTCAGTTTTCTCAACTATAAAATGTACATAATGACTCCCGTCCTTCCCACACTGTCAAGAGGGTTAAATGAAATAATCAGTATGTAAGTTCTTTCAAAAGTGTCAAAAACATCTTGAAAGGACTATTTGTAATCGCATTCTCAGTGCTCACTTCCACACATTCCTTATTTTGAGAGATTAAGAAAATTAATCCAACACAACTCCCTGGTTTCCCTTTGTTCACCCCAATCTAGCCAGCCTTATCTTCTTTTTAGTTCCTCATATGTGCTATATCAATTATGATTCTTTTAGTTCAAGGAATAAAAATTCCCATCCCAAAGAGCTTCAATGACAGGACATTATACTTTCCCATAATAAGGCATCCATAGATAGAGTGGGTCCCAGGTAAAGAACGTCAGCCCCAAGCCTTCACCTCTTTTGGCTCTGACCTCCCCTAAGGGTCGCTCTCATCCACAGCCTTGCTGCAAGATGGCTGTTGTGATTCCAGGAATCACAGGAAAAGAGGAACTGTTTCTTCACGTGTGTCTCTTATTTTAGGCTAGGAAACCTTTCCAAGAAAAATCCAGGTCTTACTGGACACATGCCTACCTCTAAACCAAGCTCTTGCAAGTGGGGGATGAGATTCATGTGATTAGCTGAGACTGCTCAGGATTCACTCTTAAGCTAGGGATAGGGCTCTTTTCTACATGACTACATGGTATGAAATGATCAGAAAGTGATCGGGGTCAACAGCTAAAAGAGTGGGTGATTGGGTATTAAATAGGCAATCCATAGATGCTGTCAGCACCCCGCTCATATTCCCTGGCCCTGTGATTTGAGTGCCTATCAATGACTTTGACCATCTGCATCTGTATTTCTTTGCTTGTGAGCTCTTCGTGATATTTGGAATTTGCTACCTGCACAGTAGGCCAGAAATGTCAGAGGATTAATGTTTGTTCCCACCTTAGGAATGGGTCTTAACGACTGATGTGAGTATATATACACAGGGTGTATAAATGTCCCAATTCCCTCATCCCTAGGATGAAATATCTCTAATGTTTGCATCACACTGCTCTCAGAATTTCCCCAGCAGAATTAAGCTCCAGGTACCTATGGTGTAGTTACCTGGCCACTTTCCTTTGCAGACTCCTTCTTCTGTCTCACTTTTCCTCTCCACTATGGTGGTTCCTTCACCTCCTTTGACTTCCTACCTCAGAGCTGGCTTCTTGAAAAAACTAAATAAAGATGCTCTGCACCATATGCCAAACTCCTTCCTGGATGCAGAGGCTTTGGGGATAACGTTCCCATCTGCTTAGAATGTGTTTCCTCTTTCTTCTCACCTGAGGCACTCTCATTCTCCCTTTGAGTCAGTGTAAATGTCACTTCTCTTAGAAAGCCTTCTTTGATCCCTCTCCGCCTGATGGCAGTCTCCCAATGCTTGCTCTCTTATTCTGTACTTCTCTGTAACAAAGCTTATGATGGTTGCCATTTAATTAATTGTTGTGTAATTATTTTCCTTCCATCTTTATCCCCAACTAAACTGCTGTTTGAAGGCAAGGACTATGTTTTTGGCTCACCACGGTGTCACTGGCACCTAGTACAATGCCCGTCTTACTTGCAAGGTAGAGGGTTAAGGACTTACTGGCTTTTAAAAGATGAGCATTGTGAGTGACTAAAGATGTAGGTTTGAGGGTCATTCAAACAGACAAAATTATCAAAGCTTTGGACCAGAAAAAAAAAAGACCTTTTGTCCATATGGATTCCCACATGGATCTACCTTTATTTCTTGTGACAAAATATAACATTTATACACATGAGGGATGCCCATTGTTTAAGGGAGAATCTTCGCATGGCTCACATGTCTATAAAATATGCCATTTTAATCAACTTTAAATAGAAACAGGATCTTGTCTCAAATCCACAGTGTATTCATTCATTTAATACCTACTTACTGGACATAGCACCTGGCAAGATCCTAGAACTATCTGCCATCAACTCTTCAAAAGTCATTAGAGAACATACATTAATGGAGAATATTTCAGATTCTCTCTCTGCCTTCCCTCAACTGTATTTCAATATTGGGCTTTTGACTTTCATTAAAGGAATACGAAAATTTATCACTCTATTTGCTGGAAAAGGGTAACTGAGGACACTGTCTATTTTGTCTCTTAGTGCTCACTGGGAGAAATTTACTTTAGTGATAAGTGGCATGAAACAAGGTAAGCACAATGCTTGCCATCTCTTTGTCAGGTAGACTCTTCCTGACAAATCCTTAAACTTGACCCTTACCGTGACAGGAGATGAACCTAGGTTTTGTGAGTTTTAGACATGTAATTTGGAATCTCTCTTTGAGAAAAAAGTAAAAAATAAAAATGTGACACAGAGCCTTGGAAGGGGCCCGCATGAGAGACAGGATCTGAAGTTTAAGCTTCATCATGAGCACCTGACCTTGATTCAGTCAGGGAAAGTGGTCTCTTCCAGCTCCATACCCCTCCACATTTGTTCTGACCCTATGAGTTACTCATATTGCTTTCTTACTTGAAAGGCCCCTCCTCTTTCTTCTGCAGTCCCTAGACCATGTGCTTTTCAGAGTTTGGTCCCACAATGCCTTCTTTGACTCTACCCAGTAGAAAAAAGCTCTCTCTTCCTTGAAGGCCCATGACCTCATATAGAGAGCCCAGGGTATTTTGTAATGAATTGCTCTATCTGAAGTGCATATTACTATGCCTTCTCCAGTAAGATTATCCACTATCTGGGCACAGGGACTGTTTTTTTTTTTTTTTTTTTTTTTTTTTTCATTTAGACTCACCACATTTCTGGGTACAATAAAAAGGGAAGGAAAAATGGAAAGGTGTTATAGAAGCAAAATGATGAAGTTTAGAGTCAGGAAGGCCTAGTAGGGTCCTAACACTGCCACTTATTAGGGTGGAGTCTTCATCAAACCCCTTAACCTCTCTGAGTCTCAGTTTTCCCACTGATAAAATGGATATAATAGTGATACTTATTTCACATTATTATTGGGAGAATGAAGAGCTTTTATTCACTCACTGAGCATTTATTTAGCCCCTGCCTTGGGCTATTTTTGGTACGAGAGATGTGGAGTAAATGAATGAGAAATACTTTTTGTATGGGGGTTCTCACAGTTGAGTTAGAGATGGAAATTTACAATGGAACAGGATAAGGCTATAGCAAACACATGAACAGAGCATAGAGCCAGACACATACGTGCTCAATAATAGCTGCTGAATAAATGACTGACACAGTGGGGGAATTCAGATGAGAAAATTACAAACTTTTCAAAGTAAGAAATTGTACAGACTTGCAGAATCATCTCTACATAAACATGATGGATATGACACCAGCTGGGAAGTCGTAAAATGCTACATGTTAAAGAAAATACAATCAATAGGAAAAAGCAAGAATTAGATTAGGGGAGGGAGGGCAAAAGGGAAGGAAGAAAGGCCCTAAGGTGCCAAGGAAAAGGAAGGGATGTCTGTTGACCCACCTGGCCAAGTGTGCACTCCATGCCACCAAGAAAGTCGGCCTCCTTCAGCCCATTGTGGTTGCTGCTGATGTCATGGACTTCAAACCGAAGGCGCTGAACCTCCTCAAAGTAAAAGTCCACAGTAAACAGTTTCGAGTACACTGGGTTTATGCAGGTGCGAATCACCTCAGTCCTGTCAACCTGCAAGGAGAGAGAAAGAGATTAGAACTTTTTTTTATTATTACCCTTCAAGCAAATTCACCTCAGGCCACTTCTCTTCTTCCCAACCATAAATGCACCCCCCCAAGTCATTGGGTAGGCAGTCTGAAAGTACAAAGTACAGGCAATACCTTCAGAGAATGAGTTGAGTTTTAGCAAAGAAAATAATATAAGACATGTAAATAACTTGAAGATTTAGAGCTCAGTGTATGAGTTTGCATTATACAAAATGTGTCATTATATCATTGTGTCATGTTGTTGATGAGAAAACTGAGGTCCAGGGAATTGAAATGAGTGGGTGAACATTATGCACAGTAAACATTTTTGAGTACACTGGGGTTTATGCAGGTGCATAAATGACTGATTGATGCATTTCATGATTGATTCAACCTTGCCCTGCCTAATGTGTCGGAGGTCACATCTGGGCTCAGGAGGAAAGAAATCTGTAATTGATTAGTGATGTCTGATGGGCACAGTAATGGAGAAACTGCTATGTAGGTGTCTCATTTTAGGCAACTCTACTCTGAGTTTCCTCACCCATGATTTCCAACATAATGAAGTAGAAAAACCATGAGAATAGATAAGATGATAACTGCCTTTCATCTCAAGTATGCCCTTTATTAAGTATATAATGTTCACCCATTCATTTCAATTCCCTGCGCCTCAGTTTTCTCATCAACAAAATGAAAGATTAAATTAGAGAAGAAAAAGTTCCTTTCTGCTCTAACATTCCATGAGCTATGATTCCCTTTGTCTTCTGTGATAATAGTTTTTCAGTTGTCCCCCTCTCTCAGATATTTATACATCTCTGACATTTTCTGCACTATTCTGTGACATGTGAAGCTGATGTTATAAACTGATATTCCTGGCACCCTTACACTCTGGGTTCTGGTTGGAGTCAACCAAACGGAGGACTTGGCAGGAGATCAGAGAATGCGGGAACACAGAGGTGCAGGCACGTCTCTACAAACACACATTGTGTTAGCAGACTTCCTTCTGCACAGGGAGCTTTTGCTGAGATTTGGTAACATAGTCCTCTTTCTTGACCCTGAACATTGAGGGGTAGTAATGGCTTCCTGTTGTTGCTATCTCTGATGTCCCAGATGCCTCACTTTCTTTGTTGGCTCTTTTAACCCTGCCCATTTCCCTGTAAAGAGTTTAGCCCTTCGGGTTAAACTGTCTGGGTATGCCATCTGTTTTCTGCTAGGATCCTTATCACTAAGCTTCTTTTCCTATATACTTGTCACAAGTAAAAATATACAAAACAATTTATATTCTGTGAAGCCTTTCAAGACGAAGTTATAGCTAACCCAAGATTCTATGGCTTCTCTGTACTGGAGATACTCATCCTTCCTATTTTACAAATCAGCTGGAGTCTCTATGTGCTGTCAGCTTTCAAATAGAAACATGGTTTATTAGATGCTTTCTGATATTTGTTAGCACAAACTATGAAAAACATTTACCTCACTTTCATATGAGTAAAGGAAAACAGTCTCTCAATAAAGGAAGAGCGGTTCTTAACCATATTATGCGTGTCTATGTTGCCTAGCAAAAACAATTTGATATTTGTTCTAGCCACCTGACATTCTTCATTTCAGTGCTTTGTCTCCAGCCCTAGCCCTTCCTATGCAGGGATATGTGTGAGAGAAAATTGTCCTTTAAGGAACACTGCCTGCTATTACTGGTTGTATGGAAAATATGGGTTGGAAGGAGAAGAGTGTCATTCTGATTATGTCTCCGTCCAATAAATACGTATACAGAAAAGCAATCTCCAGCCCATTGCTGATTAAAATTTCACAAGTTATTGTTCAGACCAATGGTTATCTGACTGTTCCAGCTTCACAAGGAAGACCCAGCTTCTATTTGAGCTAAATTTTATATTCTTACGCAATGTTTATTCAGAGGGTGATGAGACTGATTATGCCACTGGCTGACTGTGCAGGTACAAGAATTTACTACATCAGCATAATTTTTTTCTGTTGTTCAGGGATAATAGTTTTCAATAACAGAAATTCAAGATCACAAACTGGCAGCCTGCAAGCGTAAGCTGACTTGAAGGTATTTGATTTGTCCTACTCAAAGTATTTTTCCCTGCATTTTCCCACTTAATAAGGTGGCTGTTTTTATTACCCTTCTTTAGAAAACAGTTGGAATATCTGGCAACCTTGGGCCACATTTCTACGTGGCAACAATTGGAGACTGTCCCATCCAGACAAAGCATTTACTCTTTGCTTCTCACAGCAACTTCCAGGCCCTTCTCCCTCATTGAACTTCTCTGCCTGGCCCCTAGAGGCATTTTTGCAACATCGGGTCCAAATTCATGGAATAATGAACCATATGATAAGAGGTTTAATGATATTCATGTTGCATCTTTTGATAGAGGATTTGGAAATAACCCCCAAGAAGCATGTTGTAGGTGAATTTGACATCCTCAAGACACAGAAAGGGCACCTTCTCTGCTTGTTGGAAGAAAGTGCTGAGTAGGTTTAGATGATAGAAGACAGGTGATGGAAACTCTAGTCTTTGTTTTTCTCCTTTCACCACCCCAAAGAGCACAAATAAGTGATGTGCACCAAATCTGGTACTTTTCTTCCCACTTCTTTTTTTTCCAATGGCATTCTCTTATAGATATAAAGTTCATGTTGGCATCAAGCCACACACCTCAGACACACTATATAAGGTAAGCTGCCAGCACTGAGTGACTTGGTTTTTTGAGGAAAATGACAAGATGGAAAGACATTAAGCGATAAACATTTGCATTAGCAAGACAGATAATTTCCAAGGATAATCAGAAAGCCAGTAAGAATCCTGAATATAACTATTCAGGAAAATGATGATAAGGGAAGTGCTTGCAATAACAAATGCATATTCGAAAGATGTTTTAGAATATTTTGCATTTCCAGTTATTATGGAAGATGCATTATTTTTTCTGGTGGCTAAATCCAGGTTTCACATGAGCAAGAGGGCCTAGGATTGTTTGTTTCTCATTGAGAGGCATTAGGGTCAAGGCAGTTGTTTCCAAAAGATCATTTGCTTACTGGTGGAATGATCAGCTGGATCCTAATCAACTGGGAGAACTTTCTTTAAAATTCAGATTCCTGTTTCCTAACCCCAGGTGATTCTGATTTCATAACTATAGGGTAGGGCCCAGATATCTCTACTTTTTAAAAAATGTTGTATAGAATTTTCATCTAGGGGAAATGAGGAGATGTAGGGTCTAGCTTGTGCTCTTGTGTGAGGTCAAGTCTTATTTTAATCTTGCTTACCCTCTTTTATCCAGTCTGCAAAATGTGAATGCTTATCTTATCTCTTCCCCAGTTGTAATGACTGATATATTCACATTGCTTTATAGTTTACAGAACATGCTCAAATCCATTTTTAAAATTTGATTCTTATAGCAATCATGTGATGTAGATGTATACTATTTTACAAATGAGAAAAGTCAAAGTTAAATATCAGCACAAGGTACTGAATGTCAGAGTGGGCAATTGAACTCATGCCTCTGACCTAAAAGTCTGGACTGCTTTCCTCAATTCATGAGCATCCTTAGAAGGAAACAAAAAAGGCAGCTGGATTATGGTGTGAGGGTGAGAGTCAATCATTGAATATAGCTTCTGATGAGAAGCTTTTAAAAAATATTTTCTAAAACATTTTCAGCCTATCAATAAAGTCAGTAACAACCAACACTTTTGGAAGGCCTGCTATATCGTGGTGCTCATTTTAAAAAACAGAACTATTGAGGCACAATTGGCATATAATAAACCACATCTATTTAAAGTATGTAATTCAGTATGTTCTGACGTGTATATTTGTGAAAACACCACCAGAATCAAGACAGTGAGCCTATCTATGCACCCAAACTTTCCTCACACCCTTATGTTACCTCATCCTCTCAACCTTCCCTCCTTCCATTCCCAATAAACTACTGATCAGCTTTCTGAGACTATAGTCTAGTTTGTATTCTTCATAATATTATATAAATGTTTATTATACAATCTATGGTCTTGTCTTTATTCTTTCACATAACTATTTTCAGATTTATTCATGTAATCGTATCAAGGGTTTATCCTTTTTTTTTTTTTGAGACGGAGTTTCACTCATGTTACCCAGGCTGG